CTAAGTATGCAGGAATCTTGGAGTTGGAAAGAACACCTAAAATAGGGTTTCTCAGTCTTAGTACTACTGACATTTTGGACCAGATAATTTTTTTGTTGTGGGATGTTTAGCAGCATTCCTGGCCTCTACCATCTAGATACCAGTGGCAGTGACCTTTTCCCCTCTAGTTGAGACAACCAAAAACATCTTGAGACATTGTCAGATATTCACTGGGGGGCAAAATCGCCCCTGGTTGGGAACCACTCCTCTAAGTCAATGGAATCCAGGGTTTCTGACTTCATAATAGAATCACCAGGGGGAGGTTAGAAAATACAAACGCTGGGCCTCACCTCAGGCCAATTGAAGCAGAATCTTTGGAGGCGAGTGCGGCAGGGGCCATCTATATATTTTTAAAAGCTCTCCAGGTGATTCTGTTCAGAGTGATGTTTGGACACCAACTGCCTAGTGACTGGACCAACACTCTACAGATCCGAACACTGAAGCCCGAGTACAGAATGACCCACTGAACCCCTGGCAGAGTAGCTCTAGAATCCAAGATTCCTTACTCCTAGGCCAGTGCTCATCCCTTAGACCACGTTGCCTCTTAACAGCTGCACAGAGGGTGCCCTTGGTAAACTGGAAGCCCAGCTTCCCGGAGTTACTAGCTCTGGTCTTCCGCACATTCCAGGGCTAAGGCTGCCTTCCCACTTCCTGCAGAGCCCAAGTCCTACCTCCCTGCCACCATCAAAAACCCTGCCTATTCCTTTTTCTACTCCTGCTGCTGGACTTAGGGTGATCAAAGTATCCTAACAGGTTTGACAGCAAGGGTTCTGTGAAAACTGAAAAAATTTACTGTGCACCTACTCAGGACCTATTTAAAAGGCCCAGGTAATAGAAAAGCACTTGCCTTCAAGGAGTTTACAGTCCAGTGGGGAGTAAACAGATACTTTCATAAAATAAGTTAGCAGGCTGGAGTGCTGTAGGCTGCAATGGCACCATCAGCAGGGGTGGCAGGGGGGAGGGGAGGCGTTTCATTGGCTCAGGGACCCTCCCCAAAGCCCCAGGGAGGGCTATGCAGCAACCACCATCAACTGCTAGCAGTTTGGATGGGCTGGAGGGAAGATGGCTATCTGAGCTAAGCACTGGCTGGAAAGAGCTTCACCTTTCTGATCATCCCAGAGGCCATGTGACCTGCTCCAGGTTGTGCAACTGGTAGCCAGCTGGCAGAATTGGGCTTCCCATCAAAGTCTAGGTGACTCAAAACTCATGGGCTATCCTGTGTCTCTAAGCAGGCCCAGGCAAGGAAGGAGGAGGTGCAGCTGTGGTCTAGTCTGTGAACTGAACTGAGCTGTGGAACATTTCTGCAGGGAAAGTGTTAAAACAATTGACCTAAGAATGGGGGTTTAGATGTCCCACTTCAGGCAGAGCAACAGGCAATGTTAGACCCTCCCAGGGCCGGGAAAGCCTGGGTTTGAATTTTCTCAGTAGTCCTAGCAGGAAGCCGCTGACTCCCTGAACTATACCCCAGAGGTTCCAGGCACCGTACAGAGCTGCATTTATAGTAGACCCTCAACTACCTTCTCTTGAGTCCTCTCTCTGGTTTGGGGGGATATTGGCAGCTGAGTAGTGCCCACTAAGCAGTCTACGGTGCTTGAGGACTTGACAGAAGAGCCTGGCTTTTACCATCAGCAGGGGCCCAGGGATCCAATTTTCAGAAATACTTGTGACAATAATCAGGTGTTTTTCAGCTGGGCAGCAGGTTCCCATAACCTCATCCTGATCCGTCTTGCTCTTCCCAGGCTCCCAGCCAGTGCCCTCTCCCCTTTCCAGGCCTCAGGACTGTCTTGTCCAGGGCTGGGGGTGGGGACCAGAAAGTGATACAGATCAAAGTTGTCAGTTGATGATTTCAAATGGACATCTATACTGAGGAATCTTTTTGCCAAATGAATATACCCCACCCAGAATTTCTGTGGTGTAATGAGCCCCCAAGAATGGCTTAGCTTACATACAATGGCTAGGCATATACAAGATTTCAGCTAGGCATGAAACTAGGCACTTTATAGGCCAATTTTAAGTCTATTGTCGCTATTTTAGAGATGAGTCTGAGGCTTTTGGTCAGTGTCTTGAAAATTCACAAATCCAAGATTTGGATCCAGAACAGCCCAACTTCAAAATCCTGTACCACAGATTTTCAAACCTTAGTGTTTGAGTCACTAGCAGGGAATTCACTAAAATGCAGATTCCTGGCCCCACCTCAGAGCATCTGATTTACTGGGCCTGGGTCAAAGCTGAGGAATCTGCAGGTAAATCTAAACCAGGTACTTGGCCCTCCTCTCTCTCTAAACCAGGGAATTTGCTGTCTCAGGTAGCAAGGGTTGGGGGGAAGGGTGGGGCCCAATCTTAAGGATTTTGGGGTATTTTGCAAATGACCTGAAGCCCGGGAGGTAGTGTAACATCGCAGGTCCTGTGCTGCAACCAGGGCCAGGAGGGGACTATCGGGAGGGGTTGGGGTGGGGGGGTGCCTTGAAGAGCTCTGCTGACAAGGCCCAGCGGTCTAGGGGTCAGCAGTCCAGCTCCCCACACTCTCACCTGCCACGAGGTGCGCCCAGAGTCCAGATTAGTCAATGAATATATCCGTCTCGTTTCCCTAATTCTGAGGACTTTCACTTTCTCCCTTTCACAAAACGTAATACCCCAAAGCCAAAAATACCTGGCTAAGGCCTCCTCGGTAGGGGACCTGCTTCAGGCGAGAAAGGAGGACCCGGAAGTCAGGTCTAGGCCGGAGGACCTGGCCCATCGCCTACGGTTCGGAAGCGGCTGTGCAGGTGAAGGGGCGGCCTCTCAGGGCAGCGCGCGGGGTAAGGAACTGCAGAGCGAACTGCAGAGGAGGTGGGGAGGGCTGCGCAAGCCTCCCGTCCGGCTTCCTGCCCAGGTCGTGCCCCGCTGCCGTTCCTGCCACCATCCGGCACCTGCCTAGCACGTCTGGGCGGGGACAGGCCAGCTCTGGCCCTCAGACCCCCACCCTTCCTCCGCTCGGCTGGACGCAGCTCCTGGGCCTGCCGTGGTGTGGACGCCGGGTCAGCGAAGGGTTAAGGAGGCTCGCTCCCTCCCCTCGGCTCCCTCACCCTTGGAAAGTCCCCGAAATGACGTTTCAACCCGACAATTAAAAAAAGAGTTTAATTATAGAGACAGGCTCTGGGAGCTGGAACAAACCCGGTCGGTCGGCAGGGCCGGTAAACAACTCCGGAGCGAGCGGGCCAGGTTGGCCACCGCCTCGCGGAACCCGCGCCCCCGGGAGCGGGGATGGGAGCGCCCCCCAAAAGTTGGAAAGGCGGAGGAAATTCGAGGAATCGCGTTCTTTTTGGGGAAGAAAAACTTTTTAGCTAGCCCGGGGCGCTGAGGCCTCGTGATGGTGTTCTGGCCGGTCCCGCAGCAGCGGGGGAAAGCTGCACCGCCCCCCTCCCCCGAGAGGGGGCACAAAGGGTGCGGGCCCCGGCGGCTGCGCGGGTCCCGGGTCCCCTTCCCCCTTCGCTTTTCCACCCCTCCCCGTCCCCCCAGCAGAGCTTTGCGAACCCTCCAGAGTTAGACTAATGGGTCCTTTTTTTGGGGGGGGGAATAAGAAACCGAAATAGCTTCACATCAGGACGCAGACTAACCTTGTGCTTTTAACGCGCACCCTACTCTGTCCTGAAATCTGGAACTCATTACCTCATCACCAAGAAACTGCACGAAACCGCCCCCCCCCCTTCTTGGAGCTGGGGAAAGGAGCGAGCAAACATCCCTTAAAGAAAGAAACCTACATTTGATTGATTTAAATTAAGGTGGATGGAAGTTATTTCCCTTACTGGCGCTTGCCACATTTCAAGAAGAGCTGCAAAATGGAAGCAGAGGGAGGGAAGCAACAGGCGGCTGGACGGCAGCAGAAGATAAAGCAAGGGGACAGCAACTGGGTTAAAAATGGGGGCCATCAATTTAAGTCAAAGGAGACAAATAAAAGCAGACCGGGCTGGGGTCGCGTAGATTCATGGTTGCAGCAAAAGTTGTGTATTTCAGAAAGATGATAAACAATCGGTTCCTAAAACAGTTGTGATTTGGAAGGTTTCCCTAGGTTTGCTCGGATGTTGACGAATAAATAAGAAATGCAGTAAAACGTGTGTGTGTGTGTGTGTGTGTGTGTGTGTGTGTGTGTGTGTGTGTGTAGTGGTGGTGGTGACGAGAGTGCGACTCGAGCGCTGTGCTCCGCCCGCCCTGTCCTTTCCAAAGAAACGTGCTCATAATGGGGTGACCTAATTACATCGCAATGGAACCCGCTCTTAGCCACTCAGCGAACAAGGTTTCATAACAGACCCGGCGGCCTCGAGTGCTGGGAAGAAACGTGCGAGGGCCGAGGAGGCGGCCGGGCACGCGGGGGAATAGGAAAAAAAACGCAGCCCTGCGGTTTCCGTCTGGGTCCTCACACTTCAGCACTCCCACGAAAGCGCGGGGGCGGTGGGGGACACGCTAACAACTTTTATTTGGGTGGGTGGAGGGGCATCCGAACCTAGTTAAATAAATACATATTTTACAGTTTTAAAAGGAGTAATAATCTATTGCGGGCCTTTCGGTTTCGGGGATCCCATGCCCCCCTTCCTCCCAAACAGCGCAGCGTGACAGGCCATATGTTCCGTTCCCTTGGGGGCGGGGGAGGAACAATAAAAGTCTCGCCTCCCCCATCTCTTTACCTTCATTCTTGCCAAAGTAACTTTTTCATTGTTAAAGCGTCTAGGGGCGTGTAAGTGTATTTCGGCGCGGTCCACAGTTCTGAGCGCGCGCAGGAAGTTGTGTGTTCCTGGGTGGGTTTTTTTTTTTTTTTGGTGGTGGTGGGGGGAAGGGGCGTTCATGAAGATTCAGGTTTTCTTTATAAAAAAGTTTAAAGATTGGATGCGTGAAATAAATACAACCCCCGGACCTGATAAACAATCCGCCTGGGCAGTGGTCTTTTTCACGACCTCCCCCAGCACCCCTTGCCTACACTCGGAGAGTGTGGACTGCAGAGCGAGCGCGAGTGTAGACGCGTGCGGCGCGCTAAATCGTGCTACGCACACCCCCACCAGGTCGGGTCCTCCCGGGGGGAAAAAGCCTCCCAACCCCTCCCCCCGCTGAAAAAAAAGTAAAACCATAGACTTGAAGGCTTTGTGGGTCCCAAATTTCCAATCCCCTTGCCCTGCGGGGTTTGCAGAGAGGAGCCCACTGCGGAAGAGAACTTGGGAAAAGAGTAAGTTGTGCGGGGCACTTGGAGAAGTTTAAAGAAAGATGTGCTCAAGATGGAAACCGCAGCGGGGCTCAGGACGGGTTTCTGCTCTCGTTTGCCAAAAGAGAAAGTCGAGCTCGCCTTCCTGCCCGACAAAAAACAACACAACAACAAGAAGAACCCCTAAGAGGGTGGAATGAGTGATGTCACAGAGCCGGGCTCTACGGCTGACAAAGGGGGGGCGCCCCCTCCCCCTCTGCGCCGCGCGCCGCCCCAGAGCGGGGCGCCGGGTAGCGAAGCGAGCGGACTCGAAACTTTTCCTCTTTAAGAAAAAAAGTTGTGTGCTGCTCGAAGTGGGTTTTTTTTTTTTTCCTCGCCTTCTTTCCTCGTCTCCCCTCCCCCTTCTTCCTTTTGAAAGTTTTTTTTTTTTCCCCGAGTTTTACCGCATGGCTGATTCAACTTCAGTGTCAATCAACTTTTTTTCCTCCTCTTCCTCATTTAAATGTTTAAAGCTCCGCCTCCCCGTCTAACTTTATAAATCGGGCTTTGCGCGCCGCAGTCCGAGAGAGTCAGAAAGGCGAGGGGCGCCGGGAGCAGGCGTGTGGGACTGGACTCCAGACCGGAGAGCCGGAGGCTGCGCCTTCCCCGCACCGGGACTTTCGCGACAAACCAGATCCTTGTCCCTGCCCCGTGCGAGCACCCAAGATGACCACCACCCTCGTGTCTGCCACCATCTTCGACTTGAGCGAAGTTTTATGCAAGGTAAATTGAGGCGGAACGTTTGCTTTTTCAAAATCTTTTTCTCTTTTGACTTAAAAAGAGAACCTCCAAAAGTTTAGGTCTTGGAAAGGCGGGGTGAAAGGGGAGAAAGGCTGAGATGGTTCTCCCCTTATTCCCTCCCCTTCCCAGTTTGAAGGAATTTGGCCCTCTTCTCCCCACCCTTTGAGTTTCAACAGTTCCTGGCGGGGATTACATGGGAATCTGGAGACCAAAGAGTTTTGGGGGGCGAAGTTTGCGTGGCGGTGCTGCCCGGGGGATGCAGGTCATTGGCTTGGATTGGGGCAATTTTTCGGTGATCTTTCGTCCTTAACGTGCTGCTTGAGCCGGGTTTCGCTGGTCTGCTCCGTTTCTCGGTGTGTGCTCAGGGTCTCCCGGCCGCCGGAGGAGTTCCAGTCTCTCTAGCTACAGCCCGCCTATAAGGTTGGGAGGGGGCTCCCTTGGGGAAGTGAGTCTCGGACGACGATTTGCTGGGAGATTTCCCCCTGTCTTGAAGGGGCTGGGAATCTGCGAGAAAAAGGCCAGGAGTTGTGATTCAAAAGGATGTTGCAAAACGAGTTTGCAGTAGGGCTTCAGTTCGCCCCAGCTCGGCCAGGCTTCCTCTTGGGATAGACGGTCGTGCTGCAAACTTTGGGGTGAAAGTGAGACTCGGGTTGACCCGCTTGTTTTCGAGGTGCCCTAGGCCCCTCGATATGGAGGGTGGGGGGGGCACGATGACAAAACGCAGGTCTGAGGTCAAGGGTCTTTGCTCGGAAGGATTTAATGGGAGGCCTCCTTAAGTCGTGTAGCTTGCCAGGAAATGAAGAAAAAAGCAAGTTTTAAACCCAGAATGTTCCAGTAGGGCGGTTTAAAGTGCACATAGCAAAAAAAAAAAAAAAAAGGCCTATGGATGTTAAGTTGATTTCGCCCCCTCTCCCCAGTTTTCTTCCCAAAGAGGGAAGCTGCTAGGCTACTTTTAATTGCTAAAGTGTTTTGCCTTCTTTTAAACACGTCGGGTCATGTTGCTCTTTTTTCCCAGCTTGCTTCTCCAGTCGGTGCAGCTGCCAGGGCCCCAGGGCTGCAGGATTGGGGTGCAGGGACACCGAGGAGCTGAAGAGAAACATCAAAAAAGTTGGAATCTCAGCTTCCTTTCCCTCCCTGCGCTCTCCCAAACTCCAGCTGCCCTGGCGGAGCCGGCTGCTGAGTTCTCCCGCACTTCTGCCTTCTCTTCCCGGCTTTCTTGCTCTTTGATCTATTTCTCTTTCTCTCGCTCCCTCCCCCCTCAGGACTTTTAAAATGAACCTCATTGTTGGGAACCGGCTCTCAACTTGGTTCCTGTAATCCGCTCCATGGGGTGTCTGCTGTTACAGATTCCCGATCCCCCGCAGCTGATCCTAAGGGACCAACTTTAGAATTTACACAATGACACCCACATGGTCTGGGAGCCAACTCCCAGGTCATATCCCCCCACCCCTCCAACAGCCTTTCCAAATCCTGGGTACAGTTTGGGCAGATGACCAGGGTACCCTGGAACAGAAACCGGCTCCCCTCTTCCAAATCCACTATTGACTGGGAGGGGGGTGGGGGGATTTAGTGCTCTCTGATTCCTCCTCACCTGCAGCTTTGCGTTAAAGATTAAACACTGGCGCTCTCATTCCATCCAGCCTGTTCTAGGAGCCAGAAGACTAATTGCAAAGGCATCTTCCCAGCGGAGGGGGGGGGGCAGGGAATATTGTGGGGGGAGCATTGTGGAAAGCACCCCTTCCAAGAGCATGGGACAATGAGTTTTATTTTCAGGAATCCCATCCCTCTTCCCCTCTAACCCCAGATGGGATTTCTCCTACCCCGCGCCCCCCCCCCAAGAGAATGCAAAGGCAGACTGAAAACCTGTTGCCAAAGGAAGGGAACACTTCAGAAGGAGGAAGTTGAGGCTCTTAGGCCAGTGGGGGGTAGGGGCGTAAAATAAGCAGGGACTGGTTACAAAGGTTCAGTCTCCTGAGGGTTACCTGATTTTTGTTAGGGGGAGGGGCAACCTAGAGAGGTCTGAGTGATCTGAGATCTTTTGAGTTGAGGAATCTATTTGGGAGGTAAAGAATTTGGAGTTGATGGATAAAAGTGGTAGTTTTGGGGACAGGATATGGGTCTGCCTGGGTTAGGGTGCATGCATAAAACAATTTCTTACATAGGTCAGGATTTTGTGTGCATGTTTTTTTGTTGTTGTTTGTTTGTTTGTTTGTTTTTATGCAGGGGCCAAAGTAAATCCAGGTGGCTGGTCTATGGGAGAGGGGCGGGGGTGGGGGGAGTGGTAGGAAAAT